AAATGTTCACTGAAGTTTATTTCAAACATACTTTAGGTCCTTTATATTACTTTTTCTTCAGAAAATCAAATAATTCTCATATTTAATTCGTTGGTTAGCATGCACAAAAACGCCAATATGCCGTAATTACATACACAATGCTCCGTTTAATGGGTATGCAATATAATAATATTATTAATATTATAAATCAAGTACTACTATTTTCTCAATTTAAAAAATAAGAAAATAATTCGGTTTCATCCGTACATTCAATACTAAAAGATTAATGTACATTAGATATTTTTACAACTAAAATCTTGATTAAAATGAATATGATTTATGTTAGTTTTTACAGACAACAAAATATTATAATATCAGGTTAGGTATTGACTTATTTTTAATAATAGTTAAAAGTTAAAGTATTCTCATAAAAAATAGAATTGAATTAAAGTTATTTCAATTATCACATTGTTATTTGCTTGGTGTATACTTAAATTTCGCATAAATTAAATATCAACAATCGTTATTTTTAATTTTTTATAATATACTTAATATAAGCTATTACTTTCACGTATGTTTCTCATATGACAACATAATACATTTTATGAAAACTATCTTTTTTTGTTCATTAAAAAAAAATTATTATTAATAATATTTTAACACAAATATTTTTTTACATATATGTGTACACCAAAATATACGCTGCACGTTCTGAAAATAAATTATCTATAATTATAATTATTTTAAGAATACTGGTAATTTTTAGTCCTACAATGATTATGTGTGCTTTTTTTTCAAAATAACATGTATAAATCAATTTAAACAAACAGACTTTAAATACAAAATATTAAACGCATTAATCTTTAGAACACTATGTAAATAGACTAAATAAATTGATAAACAAAAAAATTGCCGAATCTTATTGAAATTCAAAAATACATTTATGAATTGAGACGAATAAAAACGAATACAAATTCAAAATTTTAAGTTAATTTTTCATAATGATTAAAAGAAAAATGTTCCTTCTTTTGGTTGCGCATTATTTTAACATGATATCTTAATTTTTCTTTCTTCTGTTTAACTACATATAAACAAACAAGAATGTAGCCTTTTTAACTTATCATTAAACCTAAACTATGGAATAGAGTAAATTATAATTATAGTAATATGGTAATAATTAATCAGTACAAATATTTATAATTAACTTTCAATTTAAACCAAATTTTACCTTAAAATTAACTGGTTTTAAACTCATGCTTCACGACCATGAGTGTATGATGCAATGAAAAATTAACATATTCATAATAACTTTTCAATTTATTGCAAATGTTTATAAAATTATTAAGATATCTTAAAATTTATTTTTAAAAACTTAGTATCATCATATTATAGTGTCTATACTTCTTAACTTTTTAAAAATATTTCTTTTACGTGATTTTAAATCATTTTAAAACAATATTTTTTATCGTAATCATTTTTTAAGTTCTTTACTTTTTTGATTTATAACATACATTTTTTTTTTTATATTCCTGAGAAAAATACTTTTTACAGTATTTCCTTGAATAATTATTAAATTTTAAATGAGTAATTAATTAGTTATGATAATTTAAAAATTTGATAATGTGATTGAACAGGAGTAACACGCAAAATGTTCATCTACACTTTAAATACTTAATACTTAGTAACTAATTAACTACTCATTGGAAATTCAATTTTTGTTCATAGAAATACTCCAAAACATATTTTGCTTCGAAATATAAAATTAAAAATATACGGTGTCATTCCAAAAAGAAAAAGATATTAAAAACATAATTTTTTTCGGAAACTTTGTTTTTTAAATGATATCAAATTATGTAAACAAAATATACTCAAACAAACTAAAAGTTTTCAATAAATAAATTTAGACACTTAAATGAATACCCTGTTACATTCAATTTTTGATTTGTATAATGCATCCATTCAGGTATTAACTTAAAATATATATAGCTTTTTTATTTTGCATTATTTGAAAATGATTATCTGAACAAAAAACTATACCTTGCAATAGTAAATCAGCATCTAGAAATCTAAAACACATTTCTCTTATAAGTTCTAACACTATTTAATTTTTTCAATTGATCATTTTTATCCATTTTCATATGTCAAAAAAAATTAAACTAGAAATACAATTTCATATGATTATATCACAAGTAATATACTTCAATAAAATAAAATACTTCATTATTTTAATCATAGTTTGATTAAAAAAAATAATATCTTATCATATTTCTGAATTATAATCAAATCGCGAGTAACGTATGCATAATCATACAAAATAAATTATTGTTATAACTGGTTGAAAATAAAGGACAAAATTAATTGATAATTAAAACGAAATTTTATAATATAAATACATGTCATATTATGAATTCATTGGACGCATGCAGATTATCAGATTATGTAGATTTTGCGATTTATATGTTAATTGCCATATTCTTGAACTCATTTTCGCTACATAAATCAAATCGAACACATTTAAGCTTTTTATAAATTTCTTTATTTTTTTTTTTTCTATAAATATATTTAACTATTGATAGTTTCCATGAAAATTCCGCATAACAAGAATCTATTTGTATGTGAACATACCTAAACATCTCATATATCTTAATTTAAACATAGAATCTAATGTAATTTTAAATTTAATTTTTTTTTTTTGATATAGTATTTTTTTATCAAATAATAATTGATAAAATTTAATTAAAATTTAATGATGGTTTAATATAAACAAAATATTGTAATTCATTAGATCATATTATTATATATCTTCAAGATTTTAAAAATATTAACTTAAAATATATTTCAATCTATGGTCAAAAATAAAAATTTTAAATATTTATTTTTTATAATAAATAAATACGGTATTGAATAAATATTTGATTAATCATCAACAAAAATAAACAATTATTTATTTAAGCTAAAACACTATGTTTGTAATTTTTTTTTTTTCTTCGATTGAGACATCCCCTAACTTTTATACTATAATATATTATTGCAAAAATATAATAATAATAATAATAATAATTTATTTTAGACTTGTTTAATATAAAATAAAAATTAATATTGAAAAAATCTTAAAAATTGTTCATAATATGTTACTTCAAAATTATAATTAATATGTAAATCATACCTAATTTATAGTATTAGATTATTTTTAAATGTTTTAAAATAATTTTAAGTTAAAAAAAATACATAAAATACAATTAATTTTAATATTTATAATAATTGGGTGTACTTAAAATTATCTTTATAATATTCGAAATGGGTAAAATTAAAACTAAATGCTACAAATCATAATGATAAGAAAATAAGAAAAATTCAACTCACAAAAAGTCAAGTATAAATATGTATAAATAATTGAAAAACATTATGAATACTACTTCAAATAAATCAACCAATCACGTCATAATATATTTCTAAGTAATTAAAATATTTTTCCAAGTTATGAAAATTATAACATACAATATTCAATAATAATTGCCTAATCCAATACACGAGACATATTTTACATAAAATATTATGTTTACATACAGATATTCAAATAACTTTAACCTGTAATTTACAACTAATAACCTATAAAAACAATAAACTCATATTGAATTATTCTCAATATGAAACGCATTTTAATAAAATTAAATATGAAAATGTAATAATTAATAGAAAATTATATTAATAAAAAATAATCAATACAGGAATAGGCAAGTGCGGACTATTTATGTAATAAATGCTCTAGTAGAGTCAAGAAAATCAATTCTTTTGGTATTATTGGTTCTCAAGTTTATAAATTCAACAGTGTTTATTGTTTACGTCATTAAATGTTATTTTAATTCAGTAACTAGATATTAAGATTATTCTTGATTTTTGTGATTTTATTTTTTCAGTTTATTATATCTAATAGTTTTATTAAACAAAAAAAAAATTATAATGAAATATTACAATTGTTACAAATCTTGAACATTGAATTTATTTAAAATGCTTTCAATATTATTTATTATTTAAGGATAATATAATATACCTGCTTAGTAATACGTATAAAATGTTCACTAATAATAGTATTATTAGAACAATATATTATTTATAATTATAAACTCATCCTTCATCTCACAAGTTCAACAAAAGTTAAAGACATATATATATGCATACGTTATACTGGGTGATTCATCAAGCATGTCTATTTCTTTTTTAAGTTTTAATAATGAATTTATTTGAGTTCTGATTTTTAAATTTTTTTAGAATACATAAATATCAAGATTATTCATACTATTCAAGAACATTTCTTTAGTAACTGATAACACAAACATCAAAGAAATTTTTAGCTATTGAAATTCATATAAAAATGTATATTATATAGTTTTTTCGTAGTTTAATGCAAAATCATTATTTAAATTCTACAAACATATAATTTATTTATATTGTTTAACATAAAATAGTAAATATTATATTATATGTATTAAATTCTGTAAAAATTATTACATATTGTGTTTTATATTTAATAATTAGGAAAAATATTTAGACATTTTGTAAATAATTTATTGACTTTTATGATATTGTATCCAAAAAGATTTTTTTTTATATACTCATAGATGATAATTATCAAATAAAAATTAGATGTAATATTAAGTCTCATATTTATTATATTTGGATAATTTTTACAAATTGTAATATAAAATTAAAATTATTACAACCCCATAAATTTATCAGTTTAAATTATTATTTTTTCGACAAAAAACTGTTTTCATTTTAATTCTATATGTTTTAATTAAATATAATAATTATATAGTTAAATATAATCTATTTTATGTCTTACATATTTTACCTCATTACTTTAAATTACCTTTTACCACCACGCTATTAGCTATTTTAAAATAAGTTTTTATTCAAATATTAATCTCCACACAAATATTTTTTTTTTTTTTTGTACCATAAAAATTGTTTGAGAACATTATGTACACCTCCTTATTTTTATGGTTTTTTTTTTTTTACAGATGAAATCGACAACCGTGCTCTATAGATACAATGATATCAGTCGTAAAAACGGTTTTTACAGTCTCAACATAAGACATGCGGCTATTACCGGAGCTATTTACACATTGGTGAGTGCGATATACACTTAGTTATGGGGTTTTATGCGAAAAAAGATCTTTATCAAAATGTTTTAGATACCTTTTTATGGCAAAGGTTAGGTGTACACCGATTCAGATAAAAAGAAAAAATATACGAATTCAGCACTATATATATTTTTTTTTACTACGTATCTTACATTTTTGGACACTACCAATAACTTGCTTGTGTTCTATAAAGTCACTGCGAAAGCCTAAGGTATTAAACATAACAAAAAAATTATTAAACAGAAAAGTATTCTACTCCCAACATATTGTCACTCGTCAACAATTATGTATGTTTCATTTATTAATTTTAATGAGTTATATATCCGTATATTAATCGGTTTAAGTTTATGTGCAGTTGAATACAGTACAGAAAGATAAAATAGCGGTTTATTGCTATGAGTATTATGTAGCCCACAATGCCATACTTTATGATATATTATAAAATAAAATAATTTCAAGTTTCAACAAACATTTTACCTTAGGTCAACCTTAGTAAAACTGTACTAATATGTAATATTATTTCTAGACAGGTTTTCTTTGGATATAAATCTACATAATATCTAAATACAGAAACACATAGTCCTGCGATATACATTTGTTTATAATAGCAAATCGTATATATATACTGTGTAAAACGCAACTGTTTATAAATATATTTTTAATATCCTGGAATTCTGCAAACTAAATAGAAGAAAATCTGTTGTCATTACATACCATGAACAGTATAAAAATTTTAATCCAATTATTATATGTTTTCAGAAAAATCATAATAATATTCTCAACAATTAAATTTTCCAATACAGTGGTTTTATGCAGACCATAGATTAACGACCATAACATATGAAATTTTTGAATAAATATTACAATAAAAATCAATAGTATACCTATTAATTGTACAAACTTCACTTGTTTATTTTTTATCATATTTCCAAACTTATTTTTCTCTACGATAAAGATTAATATATATTTATTGAACTATGATCTTTTAAATATACTAAATAAGTTCAAGTTCCAATAAGTTCACCAAATTTCAAATCGAAAACTTTGCTTGATTCTGAAATTGTATAAAATTGTACTAAAATGTGTGTACAAGAAAATAAATTTATCATTACTTTAAATCATCACTATAATACTAGCAAATCGCATAATCACTCCGAATTTAAAACACATATAGTAATACGTAATAACATAATTATATCGAAATGAAAACTTTAAAACAGTCAAAATTATAAAATGAATTGAGTTATTTAAAATAAATTTACAAAATTAAAGTTTTGAATTTTGATAGCGATATATCATGCAATACAATGTTAACCTTACTTTAAATGGGGCTTTTGAAATGTATGGAGTGGATCAATATATTATCACAATATTACACTATATTATTAAGCAATAAAAAAAATTAACTTAAATGTTAATGATTTTTTGTTAATTTATACGTGAAAACAGCTACTCGTAGTTTTAAAATTTAATACGCGTACTACTTTAAATATGTATTTTGATTTTACAGTTATATACTTCTTCTAATTGTAATAAATGGATTATAGCTGTCTTTTGTGGAATTTTAGCATAGATAATGTCTTTTTATGTTTGACTTTTTTTATAATTACTATTGCCATTGCCATTGCGTATAGTACATATTATTTTTAGGGTTTTTCTGAATGATGTTATGTGTAGAACTCTTTTAATTTTATTTATGGGTGTAATATTTGGACATGACTAAATATCATATCTAAATTAATATAAAAAATAAAAAATATATTATTTCAATTTTCAATTTCAACTAAACAAAGTAGCGACTTCTAGCAAAAATTTTAAAGTTTTATGGGAAATATTTACAATTTGTTATAAGTTACAACATATTATTGAAACCAATTTCTTCGACTGGTTCTTTTTTTTATTTTACGGCATTTAATCCCTAAACCCCACCTCGTAAGACTATTCTGAATGATTTATCAACTTGAAGTTAAATATCGTGATACTTGTGATACTTAGTATTAATCTGTCTTTTTTTTAAGTATTATAACTGAATAAGCTAAATGATTAATGTTTGTTTAGTTTAAGACTATTTTGAGAGAATCTATAGACAAAAATTTCTGACCCAATTACTTATTTGAGTTTAGTATTGAAAAAATGTAGTTTGTTACAAATCTTAAATGAATACATGGTAATTGTTACTATTTCGTTCCGTTGTTTATCAACATTAGTAGAAAGATGAAATTCTATATTTTAATAGGATAAATTGCATATTTTTGCTTTAATATAATTTCAGTAACTATATTCGTATTTTGTAGGTGTAAAGATTTTACTGTCTTAAAAATATACCTTTGTGCATGTCACAGTTATTATAATGTGATAAATATAATGATGAAGAGACCGATGGCCAATTGATTTTTGATTAAAATGTAATATCTGTCTTAATAATATAATAAGATTAAAATCAATTTAAAGATTTAATCCATTGAACGACAGATGACCATTAGCTATTTGTTTTTATCAAAGTTTTAATCGTAATATAACGATGATTTTTTTATATACATTTATAAGAATAATTAGCAAATTTATAAATACAAAAATTAAAAACTCTTTGAATACGAATATAGTTAGTCACGTGTTATTTATAAACTATCCCGAGTATAATTTAAAAAATAGATATAAATTAAAATTTCAAGTTGTAGGATACAGCCTGAGATTACAATAAGTGTTAGCAGTACAGATTCTACTCTTAAGATATACCACATGTAAGGATCTTATTTAGCTACACATATGAGAATAATGTTAGATTATAATTTTGAACATAAAAAAATTAAATAAATAATAGTATTTGAAAAATAATATATTCTAAATGAAATTTACTCTACTTCACACCACTAAAGTGTTTGTGGTATCTACAATTTTACTTTAAATACTCACAAAATTAAAATTTACTTTCTAAATATTCGGGTATTTTGAATTTTATAGATGTGTTAGAATGCAAAAATCTTTGAAAGTAAAGTTGTAAAAATTATAAAACCAATTACATATAGCATTACTGATACTTTTTATGTTATTTATGGCATAAGTTTTCAATTTGCACTTCTTTATAGTACAAATGTTTTGTTGAAATGTCAGTTTATTGATTAAAATAAGAGTCTCCATAAATTCAAAAATTCTAATTGCTAATCCATACAGAGATTGAAAATCAAAAAAATGTAATTATTTTTCCATACTTTTCGTAATTTTTTGAATCATAGGCCTTTATACTTAACAGTATGTTTTCCTTCAATTTGATTTAAAAATAATTCATGATTAAAAATTTAAAAAAATATTGTATATAATAACTTTACGAAAAAACGATAGTCTATATTTGCATTTATAAATATACGTGTTTATAACACTATATCTGTTGTTGAGGAATGTAATTTCATTTCATTCAGTTAAAGTGATCACAAAATTCAATATCTATAATATATATATATATATATATATATATATATATATTTCGTACCCATAATAAAGGAGTAGACAAAATTCGTAAGGCTATACGTATAGCGAAAAATCCATTTGCCAAAGTGTAATAGGTTTCCGTTGAGATAGGGAATCAAATAAATTCTACGAACGCTTATCATCAATACAGGCAGACTCTCTTTTATACATATTTCCTGTGGATCTGACCACGCAATACAAAGACCTTATAATTGGATCCCTTCTATGCCCTACATTATTTTTTATACATCAACTACCTCATCATAATTTCTCATTATCGATTTATAAAATACAAAAAAGATATTTACTATTTTAAAAAATATATATGCAAATACACGATATCCATATAAGTATTTGATGTTGATACTTCACATTTATTATTTGTACAATATACAAATAAATGTATGGTTATACATAAACAAAGTGATTTTATGAAAAGTCAATACTGATTATCTTAAAAAATATTAACATTTTTGAAAAAAAATTCTTACCTAATTTTAAAACAAGATAAATTAAATTGATATATGACAATAGTTTATCATAACTTTTTAGAATTTGTATTATACGTTAAAGCATGTTTAAATCTATTTTCAGAATAATTATTGTATCACCGAATCAGTTGATATGTTATCGATATAAAATATATCTAAATTCATCTGTTTTAGACAATTAATAGAATACTATCGCTTAAAATCTCCTGAACCATTTGATAAATTTTAAAAACGATCAACTTATTTCAATTTTTTCAACTATAAAACTATTATAAACAGGCATAAACTGTACCATTTCATCTCAAATGTATAATATATAAAATGATTGGCAAGTAGTAATATCAGAAAATCATGTTCAAAATGTAATTCATTAACATATAATTTATTAAATTATTATAGTATTGTGAGTATTTATTCTCTAAAATATTAAAAATTTAATTCGTTTTAAAAAATGTCAACCAAAGTAAGATTTCTTTTCAATAATATTCCATTGTTCCTTTGTTTCATTAAAGGCATTGAGAATTTTTTTTTATAAGCAAGTCACAAAATAGAATATATTAAAAATAATTAAAGTAAATAATATTATCAGAGTAATTAAAAAATAAATACTAATTGTATAATAATCAAGAAAATATAAAATGAACAGAAGTTATCTGTTAGTTAATGATTCAAGTATAACTTAATATATGGCTCGATTTCAAGAAGATAGAAATCTTCTATAATTTTTAGTCATATTTTAAGAGCAAGGTTAATTATCATTTTTATTAAACTGAGGTAATCTCACATACATCATTTTTATATTTTTTATTTTTAAGAAGCATGTTTAATAATATATTTTAACTTAATTGGATAAATTATATAACTAAATACCATTAATGTGATACTGCTTAGCATTTTTTTTTTTTTAATATAAGTTAATAGTAATTTTAAAAATATAAATTAATATGTATTTAATTAATTTAAAATATTTTTAACTAAATAAATTACAATTATTCAAAAATATTTGTTTTAACCATTTATAAATAGTTT